GCATGACATCAAGAGTACGTAGAGATGGTGATGTCAGTTTTTTGGGGGGATGATAGAGAAAACCTAAGGGAAGGTTTATATGACACTCAGATCACTGGTATGTTATCTTAACAAGCGCGAGAAAAGTGTATTGTTACAGATTCCGCATTAAGTCATTCAGAAACAATTCTCTTTTGTAAGAAGACATATTTGTAATTTATGCAAACGAAAAGGCTGATGGCAAATGCACAAAAAAAAGTTACTGTCTGCTCAGAGCTGAAACAGGTGCAAATATCAAGCAGAAATTCCCAGACAGAGAAGCCTGTGTCCCATTTGCTGTTGAAGATTGAAAGGTTTACAGAGCTGAAAACAGTGAAGGTACTGAGCCAGAGGGGAAAGAAGAAGCTGTGTGAGGAAACAGGAGGAATCTAGGCCTGAGGTCTTTCAGGCGAGAGAAAGGGGGAACCAACTGTGATAGGATTATTGGAACTGGAGGTTTAAACTGCAATGCTACTTTGTTAATTAATTTAGTGTAAGGTTTTAATGTATTTGTCAATTCTCATTAATAGTGATTAAATGCTTAAGAAATCCATCATTACCTGATCAAGGCAGCTTCAGATTTTGATCAAATCAGACAGAGTATTATCTTTAATTGACACTATGCGCGCCATAGAATTTATCATTCACATAAAATACATATATCTAATACTGTAAATTTTGCCTTTTGATATATTATATGCTCTTCAGTGTTAAATGTTACATGCTCTTCAGATAATATAACATTAACAATAAAAATAATAATTAAACACATTACTTAACTTGATCTTGAAGAAAATGTAAGGAATTACATCATTTACTAAAACTGGAATTTTTTGTTGACTCTTCCTAGCTATAAGAACGGGGCTATTGACATGACTTTTTCCAGAATAATCTCCTCAGATTCATTTTAAGCGACTGCAGGAAGACTGAGCCAGAGGCACACAAACACAGACTGAGTGCTTCTTATTTGTCTTGACATGTGGTGTGAAAACAACGTGAACATTATGCACAAGCATCGAGAGCGGGTACCCAAACAGGAAAAAATAAGAATTAAATAAACTGGAGCTGATTAAACAAAAAGGGACAACAGTGAAATGTTTGTGTTCTATTTGTGCTGTCATGGATGTACACAGCAGCACCGTGCATCTTTGCCTTAATTTTTCATTCCACTTGGCACGCCCCACATGTACTTATTTGGTCTGTTAAAAAAGAAAATGTAGTGAGACAGATGAACTACTTACAAACCAGAGCTGTAAGTGACTACAAATGCAAGAATTCAAAAATGGCCAGATTTTCTGTGTACAGTATGGAGATGCATTCTAAAGTGATATCAATTTAGGATGTGATGTATACATATATAAGTGTCAACAAAATATATAACAGCTGAGGGAATATATTTGTTTCTAATTAAAGATTTTGAGTGTGTATTGGAGAGCTTTCCATTGTTTGATTAGGTATTTCAGCATTGAGCTAACAGTTGTCAGTAAAGTATTTCTCCTGTCAACTTATTGCTCAAACCTGTCTGATCCAAAAGGAATTAAACCAGAAGAGACATTTTTGTGTCCTTATTCTGGAAATGGTTGGAACTGGTCAGTCATTTGTCTTTGAAAGGCCATGTGTCCTGACCAGGCTGGGTGCATGGAGCGGGGAAGCAGGAGAGGAACACGTTGGAGTGGGTAGTACAGGATTTAATGGGGAAAGGGACATGGAAACAAGTCGAAAACACGCAACACCTCACCAGACTAGACAATCAGACTTCACTGACATACTTAGGGAAACGTACTAGAACGCGGACTGAACTACCCAGGACTAATTGGAAATAACACGAAACAGCTGGTAAACGTGGGGATTCCACACGAGGTTAACGAGGGGGCGTGGCACACAGGAGGATCGGACGAGCAGGGCATGACACCATGTTTTAATTTGCATTATCATCTCATGGAATGTAAGTAGAAAGTTAGTTCATTAACTGATATGGATTTTCAGGACCATCTCTATCCACAATTAATTACTTATATGATATAACATACGACATAAGAAACATTACAAAACCGCAGGGAAGGTTGTTTTTACTCATTAACTAGCCATCTAGTAGAAGGACCACAGTGGTTTTGTCCATATGTTACATGCTTATTTACAATACAGAGCAAGTTACATGTTATGGGTATGGATCAAAATTTGCCAGTTAGAATTTTCCATGGTACTTCAACATATGATCACATGACTTCTGTCCTTATGTGTCGTCTTCACGCTTATTACTAACTCCCACTAACTGAAGTAATTTGTCTGTACAAGCTAGAACACACTCACCAGTTACAGGATGTCGGCCTTGTAACTGGCAGATTAAACAGTATAACAGTTGGTGGTGAAGCCTGAGACTCTAAGGGTCCAAATCTCCAGAATGTTCTCCAGGTCACTGTGGGGGATGCCTCAACAGTGTCCTTTAAATCCAGACCAGAGACCTTCTACTTCAGTCAAGCTTACCCTAGTGAGGGCTGCTGGCACTTCCATTCATGTCTTCCTCCATGTCTGCCATACTTCAGGAATGCCTCCAAATCCACTTTTTGTTATCTCCTCCAAGGGCACATTTATCTGGCTTAGACATCATCAGGGCAAAACCTGCATGGAGATATGATGTGAATGTAAAACCACATCCATTAATTTACAATATTTTGCAGTTAGGCTGACCTTACAGTGAATGCCCAGGTACAAGTGTAGGAGGGTTTTTGGGGTAGGAGCAACCCAAGCAGCTACACAAGTACAAATAACAATTAGGTAAGAACCTAATAAACTATGCAAGGCAGAGTAAATGCAGCATAAGAGCATTCAAACAACAATCAGGAATTCATGGAACACATTGGGCATTTCTTGAAGGTAAAGGAGTCTGATGACCAGATGTGGTTCAGCAGTTCATTCCACCACTGGGGAGCCACACAAGAGAACAAGAGAAGTGTTAGAGTGACACTTCTAACATGGTGAAGGGATCCCCAAGCAGGAGTGTTGTGCATTTTAGTGAAATTTAGTAATTAGTTACAGTTACTTGTTACTTCATTCAAAAGTAATTCAATAACTTTACCAATTACTATATATAAAAGTTATTAGTTACTAGGGAAAGAAACTTTTTCGTAACTTCAATTGTCTTATTAATGCATGCCTACCTAGACAGCACACATACATCACTGGGACATCAGTTAACGATCAGAACATTGTGATCATGTTCCATTTAGTCCTTTTAACAATATTTAAATGATTACATAAGCTAATGTGTGTTTGATAATTTTGCTGTAATCCATTCACATAACTGTTAAGCCTATATATATATATACACTCACCTAAA